ACCTGGTTAGATGCACGTTATTTCTCTAGTTTGGATTGTCATTGTCTGCATATTTTATTTCTGCTGACTGGGATATTAACCATTCTTTCTCTGGATGCTTCTATTTTAGAACATCTTGAGTATTATGCATCAGAAAAACTGTTGTTTATTCTTTCTGATAAATTCTAAACATTGTTTCCTTTTTTCTTTTTGACTTGTTACCATGCTTTGAAGTTCAACCATTTTTATCTTTCTGCATCTTGCCCTGTACGTCATAATAATTTCATGTGATTGTGGCCGCTTACCTTTTCAAAAATCAGGGTGCTGGTACAAGTAAAGGCACGCTTGAGAGTTGGTTTGCTGATATGAAACAACCATTCAACATGCATGCAATGCATTCTGCAGTTATCTTGGTAATCTCGTTTAGCATTAAATGTGTAACTGTGCGTGAATATGTATTGCATTTGTTTTTATGCCATTTTTAATGGTCTGCCTGGTAAGTTTTTTCATGCTGTATCTCTTGCTATATATTCTTTGGACTTTTTTCTCTTTCTGAATTCACTACTCATGAACATTTTTCTTTTGAAATTGTATTTTTTTAGCTGTTGTATAATAGGAATCAAACCGGCTTGGATTAATTTGCATCAGTACGGAATGATGCTTATGGTCTTTCTGCAGTCTGTTTTGTGTGCAGGTCTATATCCTAATGTGGCTGCGACTTTAGAGGGCACTGTTGGCGTACCTCTTGGTAGAAATAAAGCACCATCGAACAACAATTCGACAAATGATTGCCCTATTTTGTTTGATGGGAGAAGCGAAGTCCATGTTCATCCATCCTCAATGAACTATAACATAAATGGCTTACGTTATCCATTTCTTGTTTTCCTAGAAAAGGTAATAATATGAAATCCTTTAATCCGTGCTTTTTCCTTCTTATAGGAGCTATTAAATCACAAAATCATTTGCAGTTTGAGTAAAAATGAGAAAAAAAATGTCATGAGCGGCTCCTCTACTTATAGCCATAGATTTTCACTTTACCTCACCACGCACTATGAACTTGAAAATCAACAAAATTGACATGTGCAACTCTCTTACTGTAGGCATGAATTTTCTCACTTGGAACCCGTCTGAATATTTGCACAACCAAATGACAACCATATGACAAGTGAGAAAATATTACTTAAATCAGCTGGCAAAGCTTTTCGACAAAATGTTTGCCCTTCTACACTAACCCGCGAATATGCAAAAATTTTAACCTGTGAGTTATGTACTAGAAAGAGTGCAAAATAAAAAAATATTGTAAAAAAATTGGATAAGATCAAAAATTTTATGTGCATTTCAGTGTAAAGATTTTCGCCAAATATGATAAACTAGTTGGAATCAAAATGACTTGCATTGCAATGCATATGCTTCACAACAATGACAACAATTACAACAACAACAAATCTTTATCCGACTAAGTGGGGTCGGCTACATGAATTCTTTTTCTCCATTACGTCCTATTGAGTGTCATATTTTCATTTAATTCTAATAAATTAAGATAATTTTTTATACAATATGCCCATTTCGTTCTAGGCCTATCTCTGCCTTTCTTATCAAAAGTCAAATCTAAAACATCTACCTCTTAATCAGATCATCAGATGGTCGCCGCTTAATGTGACCAAACTATCTAAGATGACTCTATTTTTGTTAGCCTTTGGACCTACACCAACCCTATCATGGATATATTCATTTCGCATTTTGTTTCTAAATGTAAAGCCAATCATTGACTTAAGCATTCTCATCTCGGCAACACTTAGCTTAGTTTTATGCTTCTTTTTTTGAAGGCCAAAATTTAGCGCCATAGAACATTGTAGGTCTCACCACCATCTTATTAAATATCTTATTAAATCTTATTAAATTTTTCTTTCAGTCTAAGCTGTACTTTTCTATCACAGTTACACAGTAGGCCCGAAGCATTCCTCCACTTCAACCAACCAACTTGAATTCTACTAATAGCATCCCCATCTATATCACCATCACTTTGAACAATATACTTTAGACATTTAAAGCGTTCACACCTTTTAATAAGTTGATCACTCATAATTACAAATCTGACACTAAAGCTAGTACTACTAAAATTACATTCCATGTATCCAATTTACATTCCATGTATCCAACATGTATCCAATTTTAGTTCTACTCAAACGAAGACCTTTAGACTCCAATGTAGACCTCCATAATTTTAAGTTTTTCCTGAGCTTAATCTGAAGTCTTATCCACAAGAAGGATATCATCAGCGAAAAACATACATCAAGATACATCCTTTTGTAAATGTCCAGTAAGAACATCCATAACTAAAGCAAAAAGATATGGGCTTAAAACCGATCCCTGATGTAATCTAACCGAAATAGGAAAATATTTGGTCAATTCTCCTTCTGTTTGAACACAAGTAACAACTCTAATATATATACGTTTAATGATTTAAATATTAGTCATATCAACACCTTTCTTCTCTAGAATTCTCCAAAAGAGCTTTTTCTAAATCAATAAAAATCATGTGTAGATCCTCCTTATTCTCTCTAAACTTCTCCATCAAACATCTCAATAAATGTATAGCTTCTATAGTAGACCTGCCTGGCATGAATCCAAATTGATTATGAGAAATCTTTGTAATACGTCTTAACATATGTTCAATTACCCTCTCATAATTTCAAAGTTTGACACATCAACTTAAGTTTTCTATAATTTGCGCACTCTTGTGCATCCCCTTTATTCTAAAAAATGGGTGTCAAATACTCTTCCTCTACTCCTCAGGCATCTTTTTTGTTTCTTTTTATAATAATATTAAAGAGTTTAGTAAGTCAAGAAACTCTCAAATCTTTAATTATTTCCATACTTTAATTGGGACTAAGACTTTCCACCTTTTACTTTCTTTAAAGAGTAAAAATGTAATATTTTATTATGATTAATGATATTTAGTTTACTAAGGTTGATTGTATTTTTAGAACTTTATTAAAAAACTTATCAAAATATCTCACCCACTTATGCGAATATTTTTTTTAAAAAATACTTTTTAGCTTTCATCTCTTATAAGAAAAACACTTTTTTATTTAATTCACTTTACTTGAGTTATATTTTTATTTTTCTTTTCTTTTTGTTTGACTAGTTTATGCATATATTTTTCACCTTTTTTAATATCTAATCTATTATAAAAGTCACTAGAAACAGAATTTTTAACATCACAAATTGGTCTCTTAGACTCCCTGCGGAACATTTTATATTTTTCCTACTACTCTAAGCTTTTATATTTAAATCAATTTTTATAATATCTTATATTTTATCTTTTCTTGCACATTATTTTTTCACCACCAACTATTTTTATTTATTGAAATTTTTTCTTTTAATTCTTCAAGTACATTTTTTACCACTTGTTTAATAGTATTTGTTACTTTATCCCGCAAAATTTTCTTCTTCATGAACATCCCAAATTTTGAAATCTTGAAGCTTACTCATAAAAAGAATTTTATTTGTCTTTTAGGCTCCCTCATCTAATTCTACGATAATGATTCATAATATTATTTATTTTACAACACTTTAATTTAACACATATAACTAATAATTGATGTTGAGTACTTAAATCGTCACTTAGAGTGACCTTACAATCTTTATATTCTTTACAATCTTTTCTTCTCATAAGAAAATAATCAATTTGTGTTTTATTTGATCCATTTTTATAAGTAATGATATGCTCATCTCTTTTCTTGAATCATGTATTAGTAATAACAAAATCATTCGCTAAAAGTAAAATCTAAGATGGCTCTACCTTCTTAATTAATCACTCCAAAATCGTAGCCACTATGAACATTTCTAAAATCTTCTACCACTCTACCGACATATCCATTTAAATGTTCTAAAATAAAAAAACTTTTTTCAAAAGGTATCATTTATATTGTCTTCTAGGTCATTTCAGAATTGTTTCTTAGAACCTATATCTAAATCTACTTGAGGAGCATAAACACTCATAATATTAAAAATCTTAGTACAACAACAATCTTAATTATATTTACAATAATCTTAATTATAACTCTAATTCTATTAATTTTTACAACAATATTTTTCAAACTCTTGTCTATAATTATATTTACATCATTTCTAGTGCAACTCTTACCTGAATACTAAAGTTTAAAACCTAAGCTATTAATCTCCTTAGCCTTTCCTCCAACCTATTTAGTTTCTTGAATACATACGATATTTATCTTACTTTGAATCATAATACCAACTAATTCTATTAATTTACTTGTGAGAGTATCTATATTTCAAGATTCTATCCTAATATTAGTTTCATAGACAGATTTCTTTACATGCATCCGTTCGTAATGTAGAAATCCTTGCTTATTTGACACTCTTGCCGAGCGCTGGTTCAGTGGCCCCTGTACATTTTTCATTTCCATTTTTCTCCAACTGCTTCAAAATTGTGTCTTATGGGTAATATTAATGACTGCCTCGTAAAAATTCAAAATTCACTTCTCAAAGTGGGCGACTAGTTGGATCAGCTGGAGCTTGACATGAAGAAATAAGGTCCATAACTTTGTTTTAAATGAAGTAGTGATTGTTTTCAGTGGGTGGTGATGCCATTTATTCTCTATCTTGCATAAAAAATAGCATGCATCTCTTTATTGACATTATGAGTTATTTTACAGACAACTTTGTGATCGTTACCTTGAAGGCATTGTTCTTTTTAGTTGGGCGTGGGAGGAACATCTTAGACATGTACAAAAATCTATAGAGCTGTTGAAGAAAAATCAACTCATCCTTAATCTGAAGAAGTGCAACTTTGAAAATAAAACCGTACTGTGTTAGGGGGTTGAAGTGGGCGTCAGAAGATTCATATTTACTTTAGGAAGATAAATAATTATAAGGATTGGTCTTGACGAGAATGTGATCAACATGCAAATTTTCATAAAAGCATTCTTTCATATTATCCATTATGGAGACTCTCATATAGTCATTCAATTTGAGTGGATTAAAGAGATAACTCTTTACCCTAGAGTTTATATTCTCTTTATCTATTTTGGATTAATTGTTCTCATCAAAAAATCTATCTTAACTAATCTACAGTTTAAATTTGAGGTTTTTCTTTACCTGAAAGTATTCGATAAATGTGGATGACCCTATTATTGGTTGATAATTCCTCATTAAATATTTTATGGCTACCTGTAAACTTAACTAATACCAACTAACAATTTTGATTTGCCTCACAACTGGCTCAAGAATGATGCATGTGGTTGATCATTCGAGGTTCTATTGGTGTTTTTTTAATATAGTTGTAGTGACCTGCCTATTAGTGAAAATTAGTTGACCTTTATAGTGGATCTGCTAAGTAAGTTTATGAAATTCTAGTTGATTTTATGACCTATATAACTATGAGTATGATCAAAATAGTCCGCTAAGTAAATTCAAATAAGATTTTTATAATTATAATAATAGATTCTTTAATTTAATTATGTATGCTTTTCTGGAGCCATGGAGTTTTGTTTGATTTTCTATTATAAATAGAATACACTAATAAGATTTAAAATATGGAATATTCAAATTTACTTGAAGTCGTTTCTTTATCTTATTCTTTCAAGGTCACAGAATTGTATTTCTTTGTTTTATTAATCTATCATAATTCTTACATTATAAATCTTGTAACCAACAATAAGATTAACAAGTCTTTATTCCACCAAGTGGGGCCAGCTACATGAATCCATTTTTCTCCATTGTCTTATTGAGTATCATAATTTCATTTAATTCTAATAAATTAAGATAATTTTTAATAAAACATACCCGAGTCTTTTTAGGTATACCTCTAACTTTCTTATCATAAGTCAAATCTTAAACATATACTCTCTTAATTAGGTCATCAGATGGTCGGCGTTTATTGTGACCAAACCAAGGCGAATCTCACAAATCTTGTTTGTCACTGGAGCTGCTCCTACCCTTCATGGATATATTTGTTTCACATTTCATCTTTAAATGTAATGCCACTTTTCCACCCGAGCATTCTCATCTTAGCAACACTTAATTTGATTTTGTGCTTCTCTTTTACATGCCAAAATTATGAGCCATAACGCATTGTAGGCCTCACCATCATCTTATAAATATTTTCCTTGAGTCTAAGTAGTACTTTTCTATCACACAAATGACTCGATGCATTCATCCACTTCAACCATCCAACTTGAATTCTATTAATAACATCTCCATATATATCACCATCACTTTGAACAATAGACCGATATACTTAAAATGCTCACTCCTTTTTATCACATATAGTTACAACTTGAGAACTAGATCTAATATTACTAAATTGTATTCCATGTATAAATTTTGCAACCACTCAATTTAAAATGTGTAACTCCAAGTACATAACTCTAATGGGGTTATGGGGCAAACAAATTTTGGGCTCGCATTGAAATTTTATTTGCTGTTTTTTTTTTTTAAAGAGATCTCATTACATGGATCTATGAAATATTTAAATAAACAAACATCAAAATATCTCAACTTAAACATCTCTTATAAGCATTTCACTAATGGTAATATAGGATACAATTATAGCTGACACTTGATTTGATAAATCTTTGATTGGGTTCATTTTTCCATTTCTTCTACTGCTAGTAACTTCTCAATAATAGAAAATTTTAATTATTTTAATATACTTATTTTAATACATGCCAAATCAATTTCTATGGTGCTCGATCATATGCTTATTTCAAGAATCAAAATGGTAGAAAGACCATTTTAATTTTTATTGATGCTTATCTATTATATATGTCCTAATAAAGTTATCCTTCATAATGTATTATCCAACCATAAAACAAAAAATGTTATCCAACTTTCATGTAAAATTTTTAGCCATTGTTTCATGATCTCTAATAACTTTATTATATTACTCGTAAGAATAATTTTCGTACAATTAAAGTACAATTAAAGCCATTTTGAACTCATTAAAGCCATTTTGAACTCTTTTTTTTTTTCACTCTTAAGTACCATTTTCTATGTGCTCTTCCCCAATTATTCACCGTCTTTATGATCTTAAAGATTTTACTACCCCTGATATCACTCCAATCCACAATATTATGAAATGTACAACACGAGGAAAATTGTGCATATTTGCCTTATCTAAAAGTATATATGTGTATGTTATTAACCAAGCTGGCAGATCTTAGATAATTTTATGTAGCTTTAATTTTTGTAACTTTCCTAAATTTTTGTATATTATATGATTTTCTGTCAAAGACATTTGGTTGAGTAGCTTCCAAATATTTCAGGTTGAAACCAGCAAGGTGTTTCTGCGAGACACTAGTATTATATCTCCTTACTCTCTTCTCCTTTTTGGTGGCTCTATTTCTGTTCAACATCAGGTTTGTCTTTGAAGATTTTATGCATTATGTCTTCCATTTGGTACTATTGGAAGCTATTACACATATATTCCTATTTTTATTCACACATGTATCCTGGATTTGTCCACCTGTTAAAACAAATTTTTTTGTCGAAATTAATTTTTTAAGTTTGATTGGTTTATTGAAATTCCTCAGTTTTCAATTTGTGCTAGTTGTAATAAGTTTGTGTTTAATAGTATCTATATTTTTCCTGAACTTTAAACACCCTTCCTAGACTATATATGCATACCTTCGTGTGGCATTGTTTGTGATGCCGGAGTTAACCCAAACCACAATGGATTAAATATTATCACTCAAAGCAAATAAGTTAGAAAATTGCAACGAAAACGAAATACAACAAAATGGATTAAATATTATCACTCAAAGCAAATAAGTTGTTAGAAAATTGCAACGAAAACGAAATACAACAACAATCACACTACACAGGCACCCAACTAGGGCTTGGTTCAACGGTGGAAGGATGGCTGCTTTAAGGGGTTTGTGGTTGGAGAAAGAATGATGGTTGGGGTGGTTTGATGCAAAGGACAGAAAATGGGAGGGTAGGCGGCAAGGAAAAAGATGATGGAGAGGGCTGGTGGCAAGAATACAATAGTTGGGAGGGCTGGTGGCCAAGATACAGTAGCGGAATGGGCTTGTGGCAAGATGACAATAGCTTTGAAGGGATGGGGGCAATAAGATAGTAGCTGGGATGGTTGGCCGCAATAAGACAGTAGCTGGGATGGTTGGCGGCAATAAGCCAATAGCTAGGAGTGATGGTTTGTTACAGAGAACAATAGGAAGTCGGTATCCAAGTGACAACAGCAACCGCAGTGACACAGCCTGAGAGCTGGAGGCAAAAGTAAGATTGCGAAAGAAGGGAAATCAAAGATAAATATCCCCGCATGATCAAACTGCAGTTGGAGAACCAGTTGATCCTCGGGAGACTATCACCCCCTTGGACGAGTTACAATAGGAGCACTTTATTATCTTTTGATACAGCCTTAGAAGGTGAATACTGTTGGTTTTCCTGAATAAAAACATACACAAAACTGCCCTAAACACTCATAAATAACAAATATATAATCCTTGGGTAAAGAGGAGTGGACCCTACTCAAAATTGGATGGAAATCCACAAAGAGGAAGTGTCGACCAGCCCTTCTTGACCGGTTCGAACTGCGAATGCCCGTGACATGGTAGTATGGGTCGTGGATGGCGCTCTTGCGGAATGGCTCTCGCATCAGTTTCTCGGAATTGGGCGAGCTTCGATCTCATCCGACAAAACTTATGTCAACACGTTGAAGATGGGGGAGTTACTATAACCTGGTCTTCAATTACGCCGATCTAAGTACCTGGATTCCACTACTCTTTAATAATGGTTCCCAAATCATCTGAGGAGTTTTCCCCACTTACGAGCAACGACTGATATTAGTCCAACACTATTGAATTGAACTAGGCCTACGCGTCTCATATATATTGTTGAATCCTCCTAAAGTAACCCTAGGTTGATTCAATTCGATTTGAAGTGATCAAAACCAATATCTCCTTGAACGATATCAACTTTAGCGGTAAGCTGTAATCAGAATGTCCTAAAACTCCTTCTGTACGACATGCCCTTCTTCTGCAACTGACTCTTCTGTCTCGTAGTCCTCTGTCAACAACAAGATTTATCCTCCAAACATTTTTGTGCTAGCACGAGCACCCGTAACCTCAGACTCCACAGAAGGTAAGAGAATGATGCACTTCACATCCTTTGTGAACGCGTAGGTGTTCCTGTACTTATTATGTTTAGTCCAACGATCAGTTTGACATGTTCTTCTTATCAAAAGGAAGGAGACATCTATGGGCATTATATTGTACCAAACCTGATCCTGTAGCTGACTCCTAATTAATAATTCCATGAGGTACCTCTTATCAATTCTGACCATGTTCTTCTATAATCATGACTTGGAATACGGTTAGGAATCCCTCTAAGTCTTGAGGCTTAATTTGTTCACCATTTGTGTGGATGTCATGGTCTTACCACTCTCTCCATCAATGATGAGACTACATACTCTTTCATTCACGATGCAATGAGTGTTGAAAATGTTGTGGTGAAGCAACTGCTACTCCCTCATATCCTTGGTCTGTATGACCCGTCGAACCACGAGCATCTCGTCCTCATTCGGTGGAAGATGGTACTCACCTTGTTCTTCAATTTTCTCTTCGTCGCTAACTTCCTCCACTACACTCTGCTCGATGAAGGAGACAACTCATCTCATCCGATAATTTGAAACCATATGTTCAAACCGATGCCATCTGAAACATTTCCTGACTGTTATTATGGTGGGTGTGTTACTCACGCTTCTTCTCACTCGAAGTGACTGTTTTGCTCCTGGCCAATCTACTCGCCTCCCTGAGGCGTGGTCTTTCTGATGTTTCTCCAATCATGGGTGGTTGTTTGACTTGTGGCAATTGTTTTGCTTCTATTGTCTCTACTCCCCTGTCTCTAATAGGGCTACAACGGAACCACATTAATGATGATTGGATTTCAGGTCTTCCAAGTACCTATCTATTGTGTGTTCCTCTATCTTCTTAGGCTCACACTTCACCTTAAATTGTATTAATTATGTCTTGTACTTCTACAGGTACTGAAACTTCAAGAAAAGGATGGTAGTGTCGTTGCATCTCCCATTTCATCTTCTTTCAAGAAGTGATTCTTTCCGGCCATTCTCATTGTCTCTTTCTATTCAGGTTCTCCAGCACAAAGTAGCATTTTTATTCACCTTAATGGAGACGAGGTTCACTCTTTTATTATTGCACACCTCTTTATGTTCAAAGGCCCACTCAACAGTCTACATCCATTCAAAGAAATCATGTGAATCCATTCTTTTCCTAAAGTCCGATTGGTCCAACTTTATTCTCGGATCTCTGTATCCTCTAATAGGCACGTTATTTTTGTATCTTCAAACGGAAACTCTATATCTATATCCTCTAACCAACATCTCATCTCTGTATCCTCCAATAGGCTCCCCATCTCTGTACAAATGACATCTCATCTCTGAATCTTTCGATAGACACTTTACCTCTAGGATTCCGCTAATATTGTACCCCAAAGTGTTGTTGCCGGTCTTCTTCTCTACTAGAATCATTTCTACGGAATGGATTCACGTGTTGTTTTCTCTCTCTTTCACAGATTTCACTATTGTGGTCGATGATGATCCCTTCCTGGGTTCTTTCCTCAATCCACCAAGCCTTTGTAGCACTTGGAGAATTAGTCGTTGTATGTTATACATGGTAACTTTCTGATCGTGCAAATCCTAGGATAGAAATAGGGTTAGGCTAGTTTATATACTAAATGATATCGGAATTAAACCAAACCAAAACGGAAAAAAATGAATATTATCACTCTGATGCAAATAAGTGGTTACAAGGTCACAAAAAAAGGAAATACAACAACAAACACACAACACAGACACCCAACTAAAGCTTAGTTCAACTGTGGAAGGCAGGTTGCAGTAAGGGGGGCTATGATTGAGAAACGAAGGTGGTTGGGGTGGTTTAGCGAGAAAAGACAATAAATGACGGGCTAGCAGCATGGAGACTGCAGATGGAGAGGGCTGGCGGCAAGATAATAGTAGTTTGGATGGTCGGTGGCAAGGAGACAACTGCTAGGAAGGGTTGGCAGCAAGAAGACAGCAGATGGAAGGGCTAGCTGCAAAGAGACAGCAGCTGCGAAGGGCAGGCAGCAAGAAGATAGTAGCTTTGAGTGATGGTTGGGTGCAAGGGAACAACAGGGAGGCAGTTTCCAAGTGACGACAACAACCATGGTGACAATGACAGTGAGCTAGAGGCAAAAGGAAGATTGTGGGATAAGGGAAATTGAAGATAAATATTCTGCAAGATTAAACTACAATTAGAGCACCGCTCGATCTGTGGGAGATATCCACATCAGACGAATTATAGTCGGAGCACCTTCTCGCTTTTGGATACATTCCTAGATGGGAAACACTGGCAACCAATGGCTGTCTCGAATAAAAATATACACAAAATTGCCCTAACGATGCAGAAATAATAAATATTTAATCCTAGGGTAAAGAGGAATGGGCCCCGCTCCAAATAATAGGGGAATCCACGAATTGGATTGTCGACCGGCCTTTCTGGAAATGGGAACAAATTCTTGGTGAATGCTTCAATTTTTCTAGTTTATTGTAAACCAGGTTGAATCCTCTTAGAAACATTACCTACTAGCATGAGCCCAATCATCTTAGGTGACATCCTAAGCTTGGTTTAGAGAAGAATCATCTTTTAGGAAGAAAACCCAAGCCTTATTGTTATTGGGGACTTATATACAGCATACAACATAATTCTTTTGTATTTGTATATCTAATTATCAAACGTTGGTTTTTACTTATAACACTCAACATTTTTTAAGCAAAATACACCTTTTTATGGGATGCTATTGAGACACTGAAGCGTTAGCTAAGTAAATATCAAATTTTAGGTGTTAGATATGTCAATACAAAAGAATATTGTGATGTGTGTGTAAATCTCTTGTGTTTTTTAAGCCATTTTTTATTTCATTTGTATTTTTTTGGTTATGCAACTGGTCTTATATATTTTTTTGGTATTTTCGCTTTGGAATTTCTTATGTATTCTTTTATCCATATATTAATAATTAATTTGATATTTTCCTTCACAAGCTTTTGAAGAAGAGGACATCTTATTCTTAAATACACCAGTTTGTAGAACCTCTAGTAGATCTATTTAAATTTGTTCTATAATGTACAAATCATTAACATTTCAATTGGCGCCACATTAAGTTCATACGTCATTTGAAGTGAGATCTTGAAGCTCACAACTCATTCAAGGACTCACATGAATTTCAAAATAGTTCACCTCTTCCTCAAATCCATAGATATGTTGTTTGCACTAATATTGTGCCCAAGAAAAGCCACACTTTTAAGCCAAAATTCACATTTAGAAACTTTGGCATAAAATACATTTTCCTTCAAAACCTGTTGCATAACATGTAAATGATTTGCATTACAAACTTCATCCCTCGAATATACCAGAATATTATCTATAAAAATGATCACAAAAGTATCAAAAAACTGTCTGAAGACCTTGTTCATTAGGTCCATAAAAACTGTTGGATCATTTGTCAGTCCAAAATGCATCATCACAAATTCATAGTGTCCATATTTGGCTTTGAAAGTCGTGTTCGCTATGTCTTCTTCTTTAATTCTAAGTTGGTGATAGTCTGACTTTATTTCAATCTTGGAAATACAGAGGCGCCTTCCGACTGGTCAAAAAAATTGTCAATTCTCGAAAAGGGATATTTGTTTTTAACTGTGAGCTTATTTAACTCCCTGCAGTTAATGCACAACCTGAAGCTCTCATCCTTCCCCTTCATGAGTAATATTGGATGTAAGTCTGATGAACTCCTTATCTAGTAAGTTTTATAGTTGGGTTTTTAGATCGTGCATCTCCTTAACTATCATTCTATAGGGTGCCTTGGATATCTGCTCAAAACCTGAGGAAGAGTTCGATATTGAAATCAATCACTTGCACTAGAGGTCTCCCTGCTAAATCATCAAGAAACACTTATCGATATTCTCTTACCACTGCAATATCACCCAAAGACTTTGCTTCTTTAAAAGTATATGTTACCTGAGCAAGAAAACCTTGACTTCTATGATTCAACAATTTGCAAGGTTTCAAACATGTTATGATCATGAATTTTAATCATCTGTCACAAAAAAAAATTAATTTTGATTACTCAGGTAATTTATTTTGATAATCTTCTTATTGCAATCAATAGTGATAAAACTTTTAGACATCCAATCCATGCGTAAGATCACCTCAAACTTCACCAAGGGTAACACAATAAGTTGCACATCATATTCTCTTTCCACCAATTATAAGCTTCACCTCACAAGATTCATTAACTTCCAAAAAAACACCATTTGACATTCTAATTAATAGTAATTGAAAGGATTTTCAACCGCATCACTTTAGCTAATTCCACAGTTATAGATCAGTGTGATGTTCCTCAATCAATAAATACACTTATCGGTCTACTCTGAAGATATATGATACATATAATTAGAATCATCGCATTAAACATTTAGAGTCGGCTTATTAATATATTTAAATTCTATTTGTTTTATCTATGACATGATATGAATCCTATGATAATTAAAGGTGCCTGGGTTAAGATTATTAAGAGTAAATTATACCTGTGATGATATCAGTGGAGTCTTTAGCTTCTTGTTTCGAAAGAGCATATACTCTGAGCTAACATTCTACTGAGTTTGAAATTGACCTTGAAGATTTAGCTGCTCTCAGTCTGTCATAACTCCTTTGACATGGTGCAACACTGCCGCTAGAATCTATTGGAGCCCTCTGACCCAATTTATGGTAATTCCTTTGCATATGTCCTGGCTGGTGACACCAAAAGCAAGTGTTGGATTTATATACACACTCACCCTTATGAGACCTTCCACACTTGTCACACATTTTTGCTTCAAACTCAGTGTCAACGTTATTGAATATTTCTTCTTATCATCTGTACTACCTAATTGGAAGGACTGCCTGCTTTGAGAGCCTTGAGAAAACATGGATCCCTCTGAATTTTTTCTTCTGGATGTCTCTCTTCCTCTAAGTAGACTCCAGATCCAAGCTCAATCCTCTTATCTCACTCCACCGGAACAGAATAATCATCGATTCCAAGAGGAATCAATGACTGTCTAATCACATGTCTGAGCTTAGACAAAAATAGGTGGCACTTCTGCTCTACATTTGGAATCAATTGAGGTGCATACCTTGAGAGTATGGGAAATTTAACTTCATACTGCATAATGGATCGATAACCTTGTACCAACCAAGTAAATTTTGTTTTGTATTTTCCTCCTAACGGACAACAGTACAAACCAGTCTCTAAAATTACCCACAAACTCATCTCACCGGATCATGTGACTCACTCTACTCCCATATTTCTCCTATAGCTGTCCTCGCCACCATTTATCCGTTTCTCTTTCTAAAGCAAACGTAACAGTGCAACCATTCTCTTCGGAGGACAAGACAATTTATCTAAGCTCTTCTCCACTCTCATTAGCCGGTTTTCGGCATCCGCCGCCTCTTCCAGAAATGGTCTCATATCCTGAAATAATATTAAGTGCTTATCCATCTGTCATTCTCTACTGGAATTGATTTTAGTCTGAGAATTCTTAATCAATTACGTTATTGCAGTCATCCTTTCAATAAACACATTTGTATTCACAGTAATCTGTGGGGGTGTATCTTTTACGATATCATCTCCAACTTCTTCCTCTGATTTTTCATAGTTTTACAATAATGAAAGAAAGATTTTAATCCGACACAATTTAACCCTTGATTAATATTACCCGTATATTAATTTAGTCATCCAAATGACTCTTTTAGATTATGATCCAATATAATTTCTTTGATACCACTTTTGTCACTATCCGACCCGACCCGACCCGATGCTTAGAATTAGTTAAGGCAAGAACTATGGTCGGACAGTATTAACATTTCATTTTACTTTTCACAAAGTTTTTCATAATTTTCAATTTATAAAAGAATCACTAATCCACAAAGTGCAATAAAATTAAATATCCAGAAATAACAGTCTGAAAATTACATATCAAATCAAAACTAAACAGTATATTAATATCTGCAAGAAAAAGTAGAAAGAAATTACAAACACATCATAACTAAGATCTATCAGTTACACAACACTTTTATAAACCAAATCTCTCCTTCCAAACATATCAATCTAAAATTTTTCTTCTTCTGAAAGAAAACAATAATTTAAACTGTATGATTTTATTAGTGATTAATTTTAATCTTAATGTATATTAAATTATGATTTTTATGCTATGCATGAATGACCAAAAGAAAGTGCGATTCATTGCTTTATGACGACATATACTTTCATTTTAATTTTATTCTTTTGCATTTCACATTAAGTATTTATTCATTTTAACTTTTTTTAATTGTTATAATAGGATTATCATCATACCCGAAGATACCACAAAAAATGTATCCAAAAGTATCTAAAAGTATATTCGAAAGTTCCCTTAAACTGCACCCGAAGATACATATTTATCATTTCCTTTAATGTGCACGGGTATATCGCATCCCCTGCTTGTACTATCTGTGTGTGATTCCGTATGACTTAAATTTTATGTTTCCTTTTATTTGAATTGGAATCCTTCAAAATATACCTTCATATATACGCTAATGTCATGCCATCTCTTATACCTTTTCAAACTTTCACTATAAATGAAAAGCTTATTTTAAATCCTTTAATAAAGCAATTACTCATTTATTAAAATATTAATTTAATGCATAAAAAAAATGATCACTCACATTTGCTTTCAAGGGACCTCTAAAATAGTTTAACTCTTCACTGTACTTTTCCTTGCACTTTGACCTCTCTTTTGTAGTCCAGTTCAACTATTTGATAAATTAAAATTACTAAAGTTAATTCATAAAAGTGCTGGTTCCATCTAATTTGATAGTTTTTTATGTATTACTTTCTAGTTTGGTTTTGATACTTTTTCATGCTATAGTTTCTTATTTAGTTTTGGTTTAGTTTTCAAAAATATTTTAATTTTGAATGAATTTATCCGCTTCTCTTTCTAAAGCAAACGTAACAGTGCAACCATTCTCTTCAGAGGACAAGACAATTTATCTAAGCTCTTCTCCACTCTTATTATTATTATTATTATTTTGTTAAATATTTATGCTTTACATTTATTAAAATTTATTTGTCTAATCAAGAAATTTATGAATTATTCCTTATAAAATTATTCTTAAAAACTATCTATAACTTTCTTCTTTCACTCAAAAAATTGCATTTTTTAAAATATTCAAATTTTATATTTTAATGCCTGCTGATGGTTACACAAGTTTAAAAACAATTATAATAAATAATTTGCCATGAATGGAAAAAAAAATGCTATTGTTTGTTCTAAATAAATATCTTTTACATCTCATCAAAATACTCTCTCCCATTTATGGAAGTGCTCTTGTGTGCTTACATGAAAATATATCCAACCAAATTTTCATTTGTATTAAGTGTGGTTGGAGCCTCCTGGATGGAGGTCAAGTTGACATGAAAAAGAATGTTGTTTTAGCTTTTTCATGGGGTAATTTATGATGCACAACAAAAACCTAATATGTGATCATCATTTTCAAGTTTGAATTGGACTGGAATCCGGATTCACCTGACATGATAGGAACTCCGGATTTCATAAACAAAACTTGTTTTGTTTGGTTTTCAGACAAGCTGATTTGAAAATGACGATGATTGTGATTTTCCATAATAAAAGTGCTGCATATAAGTTACTGTTTGAGAACCATTTGTTTCATATTTAGTCTCTGTGCATCACCGTGAAATGTTGTTGTAGATGGGTTCAATCATCATAGACAACTGGATGAAACTAACCGCGCCTGCACAGATAGCTGTTCTATTCAAGCAACTTCGCCTAACGCTTGACGCTGTTCTAAAAGACTTCATTCGCAAGCCAGAGGTACTATGTTGTTCAGTTCAAATTAACATAAGAATATTACTAAGAACGAATGTTATGATTGTCTAGTCTTTATCCAGGCAACTAATTTCAGATTAATGTCCCTTCATATTGTGAAAAATTAACTGTTGTTCCCTGTTTAAAAATTCAGTTGGAAATGTTTTATTTTCTTTCCCTTTGCCAATGTATTAGTTGTAACCACTTCTCCTCTTTCCGCTTGCTTAACAGTATATCTCATATTTTGTTTTTGAAATTATTTATTTATTTTTTATTTTTATCTCATTTTCTCTCCGGTGAAGGGTGATGTTTGTCAGTCTCCAATGGTTTCTTGTTTTGTCTTTTCTGAAATTGGTTCTAGCTAATTTTAGTTGTCTCTATTCAGCTATAAAATAACTGCACTGCACCAAAATGTATTTGATCAAAACACGTAATACCAAGTTCTCCAAAAAGGAATGCCATTACTTTATCAAATCAGTAGTGACACCAAATTCTACAACAACCATTTGAGATAAAAAAACTTAATTCCAACACGAAATCACAGCTCTTGTGATAGCTATATTTTTAGCTCAATAGATTGCAATGTAAGTTGAGATGGAAGACTACTTGAAGTAAAATCTTGCTTAGAATTTCATATTCAAACCAAAGTGCGTTTCACAATTAAAAATCTTCAATAACTGATTTTCAATATCCTTATAGAGGTCTCACTATGTGGAAAAAATTTTGAGTATGTTGTCCATATGCACAGAGCTAGGTCCGGACAACGGCCGTGATGCATTGATTGCGTCTGAGAAGAACAAAAAAACCCTTCGCGATCAGTGCATCGGGGCAGCGTCTGGATAGCGTACGCAAAATTTTCTCCACTATTTGTCACTTTTAAAGCATGAAAAAGAATAATTTATAGTGAGTGAATCAGATCAAGAATCATAAAGAATTAACTTCACAGAGCATTGAAATATTTTATAGTATGATTCAAAAGTATGATCAATTATGCCAGATGCATATCATCAACTCGACTCGTTTACCCCACTATTTGTTCTTTTAATTTTTTATTTGAAATATTATGTAGTTAGTGAATCAGGTCAAGAATCATAAAGAATTAACTTCACAGAGCATTGAAATGTTATATAGTATGATTCAAAAGTATGATCAGTTATACCAGATGCATATCATCAACTCGACTCGTTTACCCCCCTATTTGTTCTTTTAATTTTTTATTTGAAAGCAATTCCTGTGGATATGATTGAAATTTTGGTTAAGGTATATCATACAATATTAAATGTATTGTACAGTATCATACAGTGTTATAATCAATTTTTATTAATTATTTAAAATTTGTTTCTTATTTAAGCTCTAATGTCTGTTTGTTTTCTTAACAATCATTATATCTAAAAGTATGAACTTGTATTATTAAGAAAATAGAAAGTAAAAATAAAACACTTGTTTGATGTTGTAACTTCATCGTTCACTTTTTCTTGATGGCTTGGTCTTCCAAATTTATTGAATTCGTTGAATCTCGTGTAGATGAGTTAGCTTGTGTATTATGGTCTACATTCTCTGTTTAATATGTTCTTCATTTAGTTTGCCTAACATTTGAATTTTTCCTCTTCAAATATGTACTTATAATATTAAACTTATGAAAATTTTGTCAGCAAAATCAACTCAACTAAATTATGTTTGTGATTATCAAAATACGGCAACTGCTATAGGCTCATGAGTTAATATGTCTGTTTTAAAAGTGGTGTTTTGAGTCTTGGTGGTTTTATTTGAGATGTGCGTGGCGCAGTTTTATTTTACCAGTCAAGCAAATCATTATCTAAGCGCTCAGGTTCCTTTTTTTTTTAATTTCCTAACAGTGGACCCTAGCAATTCAAGCATAATATATTCGATTACATTTGATTTCAATCATGTCCTGCTCATAAATTTGAAATTGAAAATCAGTTCAGTGTTGTTTTCCTTGCATTTTTACTACCGCTTTGTCTCTAATCTTTCAAAAAAATTTCTTCATTGCTGTATCATTCACTGCAAATTTGGTCTCACTCAGAAGAAGTACAAATTGCCCAAAGCGCCTTTGTTTTTTGTACTTAATCAGAGCACGTTCATAACAAATAAGCAAGAGATATAGAGTTAAATGTTGATTCCATGATATATTTCCTTCTTGGTGGGAGAATTGGGTCTTAAAGGTGGAATTCAGAAATGACTCTCCTTGAAGTCTAGTGATGGCCACTCTGACGTGCTAAAATTTTTTGACACCATTATGAAACGCTTTCTTCTTTTCAGAAGTTCTTCGTCGAACAGAATATCTTGCCAACCTATTTAAAAACCTTTTGCTGTCTTTACTTCGGTTGAACTTAATTTTCAAAACATCTGGCTTTTTATCGACCCAATTAATTGCCTTTGAATTGGTATTACATTTGAGTTGATACCGCTTTTGCCGTATCATTTTTCCAGATGATGTCTTTTTCCAATAATGAAGTGGTCAAGTCCATAGTTCATCTCTTACTGGAGGAGGCCGCATCACACTTTTCTTAAATATCAGGTACTACTTTGTTTTTAATTGTCTATTTATGAGAAGTTTTTCGCGACAAAGTAGCTCATAATTTGTCAACTCGAAAAGGTTTTTCGTGCTACAAAAATTTCAGCAATGTATTTATTTTTCAGATATTCTACATGTCCTCAATAATGATCCAGCTAAAAAAAAACAGGAATATTTCAGTTTATTCCTTGTTGTTGTTACGCTCTATTATAATTGCTGTTGCTAATAAATTCATATGTATTACTTGTTCTCAATTTCTGTGACCAAGATCCAGGGCCCTGGCTACAAGGGGCACTTTTTGTATTGATTTCAAATTATAATGCTTCACATTTGATCTGCGGTATGTTCATTCTTTTTTTAATTCTTTATTTTATCTGCAACATTTTTTTCACTTGAAAGATTTAAACAAAATTTTGAACATATTTTTTTCCTTTTAGCAGTTTTGGTTTGTCGAGCTTAATATAGTTTCTATAACTTGACTCGATTAAACGTGGAAGATAATGGCCGATAATGGGCACGACACCAAACAAATCCGACTCGATACACATATTAATTGTTTACAACTACTAAATTGTTGCATGTTTCGCACTCCATTGATACATTTGAAGCTTAGACATTATTAAGAAAACACTTTGCTGAGCAATTTAATCGAACATGAAGAAGGCGATGGACAACAAATGTGACACTGGCACAAAATATGTTCAAAGTGCTTTGATGGTAATTTGGATGACTTGAATATCGTTTGTTTCACAAAATAGATTGTGCCAGTGCATTTAATTATCAAATTATTTGAGAAATATCACCAAATTGTTGCATGGTTAAGTTAACAAATAATAGATGTGATGCAGTGCATTGATTAAAATAATGTTTATGGGGCATCGAGAATTCTTAGGTTGGACACCAGTATTGGCCTATTTGTTGGACTAATCACGTATCACGAAATTTACCCGCCATTCAAGCTATAGGATGAAATTTGATAGTGTAGAAGACTATAAATTAACATGGCATGGTTGACAACTTTCTCAAAAAATATGTAAAAATGTTAAAAAAACATCCTATTGAACTCTAATTTTTTAAAATCATAATTACATATTTTGTATTTACTTAATTGTTATTACATTTGCCCTTGGCTCTCTTGATTTCCTCCGAAATCCCACTTAAAGCACCATTTAATCATCACAAGCAATGTTCACATTCAAACTCTCTCTCTCTCTCTCTCTCTTCATTGTGCTTTAAATTAAATATTTTTTCTCAATATAATGTACAAGATAACCATCGAGCTAGTCATCAATCATTCTGACTTTGTAATCGATTTTTAACAAATTTTATTACATAAAATTTTAAATGGACTGCAGTGATAGTAATTGGTGAATTTAATGCTGATATAATAAGCTTATAAATCAGGTGATATATCATTTTTATTTGTTTTAAAAAGCTTTGTAAGATAAACAATGTTACTTAGCCTCTTCATATTGAAATGAAGTTGATATTTCGAGTATCAATTTTTAAAACATTGGTAAAACAAGACGCATTTTTCAATAAAAAAAAACCTATGTATCATCTCTAATTTGTTTCAGTCATTGTTTAGATATTTGTTTAATTTCAATGCTTTTTCATTGTCCTAATCTTTTCGTCGTAAGGACTGGCAATTTATTTGTACTTCTCAAAATGTCTATTATATTAAATCCATTGTAAAGAATTAAGTTAAATTATTCCATCTCAACAATTAATCATAACAAATAAGACAGACATCGACCAACAATTGGTTATATATCCCATTTTCTTTTATTATCTCAAGCATTTCATGCACAAAGTTATATGCTTTTGTGAGACTAATTATAACATTAAAATGTGTGCTCTAAATGAGGTCTCATTAGATTCATTGCAAAGTAATTTTTTATTTTCATATCACACACACTAATTAAAATTTCGGTTTTCTTATACTGAAATTCTTTCCTTTTTTTTTTCATGTTGAATGCTTTTAATAGTATCACTGCTTTTACAATGACATTCAATGCTGTTTAGATTTCTTAAAGTGAGCTCCAAAAAATGATTTACTTTCACTATTCCTTGCTACATCACCAAGCCTAAACATACAATAAGATGCTTAGCTTTCCCGATGTGATAATTCATATGTTGGCCATCAATTCGAATATAACATTTGTCAAAGAAGCCATAAGAAAAATGATATGTTAAATTAAAGAATTGATAACTGCAGAAATTAGAAGTTCATCCAAGTAGGTTTCGTTCTCTAGGTAAATACATTCATTGTATATCGCTAACATTGTGGTCGTGAAGAAGAAGAATGATCAAATTCTCATCTATGTTGACTTTTGGATCTTATAATAGTGTGCATAAAGGATTACTTTCCTATTTCTATGTTGAAATTGCTAATTGATAAATTCTCTAATTGTGAAATGGTTCATGAAGAAAAAAACACATCCATACTTAGAACTTCTATTGACATATTTTATTATATAGTTGTCTTTTGGTTTTACATATGATTAGGCTATTTATCAATGGGCCTTGACATGTATCTTAAAGTATAATACTATGTTAATGATCTCAGGAACATTGTCAGCGAAGACTTGATGATGTGTGAGTTGTGTTTGAAGGAATCAAAATAATTGATATCAATATGATTCTTCTCAAATATACTTTAACTTTATTGTATGTCATAAAGGGATGAAAATTGATTTTTTCAACAATTGATGGCAATTATGGAGATACTTTTTTTAAAGTCTTTGTTAGTTTTGTATTTTGCAAGTGTAGCTACATTCATTTGGCAATCTATAGTAAACCTTTTTGGTTGATGCCAATTATTTATTCAACCAATGAATTAGAATATGCTTTTAAGATTGGGCATGAATGTCAATTAAAACTTTTATCAGTATCAAATTATTTGTTAAGCTCGCTTATTTTTATTGAGCTAGTTTTGAGGGAATTTCTTATTATGCTTATAGCAGCAGTATCAAATTATCTTTATAGTGCTAGTTTTTTTT